TCATGAGAGTAGAATAAATCGCAATCAGAGAAAATTTTGTATCAACAATACAAATATTTCGGACCTAATTACTAGTTCAAATAAACTGTTATCACAGAGATATGTCTCGCCTTTTTGTAATTTTGATAATGCAAATGTTGAAATCAAAATAGCAATACTTAACATGTAAGTTATGCAAATATTCAAAGTCGAAGAATAATGACTGAAGGTACATGGCTAAACAATCTCCATGGAATGAGATGTGCCAATGCTAATACAACTGCATACCAAATACCATTGACTCATTATAAGTCGTTCCCTTTAAACAAACCTAAACACAAACATTAACTTGTAAACTATGTAAAAGTTTCAAAGTCAATGAACCATGATCAGGGGTGGGGCTATATAATCCCCATGGAACGATACTTGCAAATTACCAATAAATTTGCATACCAAATATCATTGACTTAACATTATCAGTTCATCTTAAACTGATCTAATCACAAACTACTACATGTAAACTAAGCAAAAGTTTCAAAGTAAATAGACCATGACTGAGGGGGCGGGGCCAAATAATCTCCATGGAAATGAGATGTGCTAATGCTTATACAACTGAACACCAATTAACATTGGCCTACCACTAATGGTTCCCCTTCAACTGACCTAATCACAAACTAATACATGTTAACTTAGCAAAATTTTCAAAGTCTATAGACCATGACTAAGGAGGTGGAGCCAAATAATCTCCATGGAAATGAGATAATTGCCAATGCTTATACAACTGCATACCAAATATCATTGACCTACCACAAGTGGTTCCCCATAAATTGACCTAATCACAAACTAATACATGTCAACTATGAAAAGTTTCAAAGTCAATAAACCTTGACTGAGGGGGCAGGACCAAATAATCTCCATGGTAATGAGATGTGCCAATGCTAATACAACTGCATACCAAATATCATTGACCTACCACTAGTGGTTCACCATGAACTAGACCTAATCACAAACTAATACATTGTTGACGCCGCCGTCGCCGCTGCCACCACCGACACCATCGGAAACAGCATACCTATGTCTCGCTTTTTAACTCCGTCAAGGCAAGACAAAAACAACAGCAGACAATATCTGTTAACCAATCTCTGTTCTTTACCTGTTAATAAATTACATCAAATTTTAGAGGATTGCAACACAATTCCATATTGCAGTCCTAAGTACGAAATCATTCAAATTATAATTGCATATTGTTATTCTAAACTGTTTCCCAAAATTGATCGCCCTGAAGATCATAAAAAAACATTTATTAACATCAAATATGTCAATAAAGGTTTTGATTTTGTAAATATTGCTGGTATTTTTAATGATCATTCCGTTAAAGAACAAATTCCTGGCTATTTTGATAATACTGAGCTCCCTCTTATTAGTTATGTTTACAAAAAATCTACCCGGAACTATGTGTTTAATTATAGCGAAGTGTGTAAAGATGTTAATATCAGTAACAATACACCTACGTCATGAAATTGCAGTAATTCCGAATACATTTATGGCCCCAGTTCCCCTGTTATAACAGGAGACCTTAACATTGTCCATAACCGAGAGTTGAAATCATTCCTCAGTAAAGGACCTAAACAATTATAAATTGGAATGAGTGTCGTATCATCATCCACGACTCACTCCGTACTTACTGTAGGAAATGGATAAAACGAGAAAAAGCTGACAAAAATTCCTTAGATTCTTTTTTTAATTCAGTAATGAACATAGTTGATATTTGTATTAAACATTTTAATCCTAACAACAACCATAAAAGCCGTATGTCTCGTATCAAACATAAGCTAAAAAGAACTCGCCAACTATGTACTGGCTTCTGAAGCTGCAAAACACCTTACAAATATAGATTTATTTCGTCTTCAAGCCATTGTTCCACTACTAAACTGTCTATTCTACTTACTAGTACACTTGGTACAATCAAAAACCTGGTAATAAATTGTTCAAATAAGGCCTTTGAAAATAGTGGAATTAATTACTTTTGGAGTGTCAAAAATTCATTGGATGTACTTGATAAATTGCATGCTTATATTGGTGATTTTGAATCTGTTCAAAATTTTGATTTTTCTACCCTATAAACCACTTTGCCTCATAATCTCATTAAGAACAAGCATTCTGTGAGTATTGCATGGCAATACATAGTCCCCTACCGGTTACAAATTCATTGTAATGGAACGAAATTCTCACTTGATCTATAACTTGTCATGGTGTAAACTACATAAAAAATATCAAGTCAAAATCTTCAAGCATGATGAAAAAAAAATGTTGAAAACGGATTATTTAAGTGAATTTTCTATGTCCAAAGACCATAACTCTGCACAAAATTATAAGACTGGAACAAAATTCCAACTTGATCTGTAACTTGTCATGATAAAACTATATGCTTATCAAATCAATATCTTCAAGAATGAAAAACAAACCTACCACTAAATTCTTCAAACAATTTACCAAAGAAAAGGAAAAAAATCCAAAATGTCATTTTGTCTTTTAAAAAATTAGTTATTTCCCTTTGAACAGAAATCTGCTAATTAATAAGTATTTCATCAAAAATTTAATTCTAGGGAAAGGGCTTTAACTGAATAAAGAGAAAAGCTAAAATCGTGAAAATTGAACTTGACCTGTAACTTGTCATGATAAATCAAGAAACCAAATATCAAATCAATATCTTCAAGCACTAAGAAAAAAAGTCTGGAAAACTGATTTGCCGGACTGACAGATGGACAGACAGACGGACAGACAGACAGACAGACGGACGGAATGCAAACCTAAAGTCCCCTTCGACTTCGTTGGTAGGGGACTAAAAAATTCACACACCTAATTAAATGGGCATTTAAAAAGTCAGAATGTGAATATATATATTCAAACTCTTTTAGGTCATTTTTTAATAACAACATACAAAAGAACTATGTCAATTGGACATGCTTTGATACTATAACTGCCCTTGAATGTTTACTAGATAACATTTTAGTTCGCTATGGAGAATCCGTATATCGTCAAGTTATCAGACTTCCAATGGGGACTAACTGTGCATCACTTATTGCGGACCTGTTTCTGTATTGTTATGAGTTACAACTTATGACTAAAATCAGCAAAGACCCATCGAAACAACATCTTATACAAAAATTTAATAACACCTTTAGATATTTGGATGATATATTGGCTCTAAATAATGACAACCTCAGTATGAAAACTGAAGAGATTTATCCTGCTGAACTGACTTTAAATAAAGCTAATACTAACAATGATCACTGCCCTTTCCTGGAACTTGATATCTATATCTTTAAAGGGAAGCTTTATACCAAAATTTACGATAAAAGAGATGATTTTTCATTAACCTATTGTTAATTATCCATTTTTAGATGGTGACGTTCCCTTGTCACCATCTTATGGTGTTTAAATATCTCATTCGTTCGTGTATGTAACAACGTTTTTGATTTTAACAAAAGAAATCTCTGTATTACTGAAAAATTATTACACCAGGGTTTTTGATATCACAAACTAGTTTAAATTTTATCATCGGTACAAGGACATCATTCGAAAATATAAATCAACATGCAGACATCTTATACGTTCATGTATTTCACATCCAATCTTTTATGGTAATATTCTATACAAAGCACAAAAATGTCGTCATTCACCTCAAAAGCTAACCAAACCTTTAAACAGACTTATTCAGAAGGGATATAGTTACGATACTGCTGTCAGGTCATTAAAGATGGCATATTTTGGAATTATTATTGATTCACTCATAGGGTCTTTGCATCGAAAATAAACATTTATTCTAAAACCAGTTGTTGGCATGATACGGGTTATGTTCTTCTCATATATTTTATGATAGTATGATACTAAATCCCTAACGGGATTGTGCTTGATTTTCATATGATGAAGACATAATCTTTCAATCAATTTAATTGAGGTATGAAGCTGGCATGTCAGTAACTGCTAGTAGTCCTTTGTTAACTTATGTATCATTGTCAATTTGCTTAGTGTCTTCTGTTACCTTTCTGACATTGGACCCGGACTTCTTTTAAACTGAGTTTTACTGTGCATATTGCTGTGTGTTTGTTAATTCTACATTGGCTAGAGGTATAGGGGGAGGGTTGAGATCTCATAAAACATGTTTAACCCTGCCACATTTTTGCGCCTGTCCCAAGTCAGGAGTCTCTGGCCTATGTTAGTCTTGTATGTTTTTTTAGTTTTAGTTATTTATATGTTTCAGAGTTTAGTGTGATGTCCATTTTCACTGAACTAGTACACATTTTTGTTTAGGGGCCAGCTGAAGCACGCCTCCCAGTGCGGGATTTTCTCACTGTGTTGAAGACCCATTGGTGGCTCTTTGGTCGGGTTGTTGTCTCTTTGACACATTCCCCATTTCCATTCTCAATTTTACATAGGACATTGTTGAATGGGACACAGATTTGAGAAAAGAAGTAACATAGATTTGTGCAGTCTATGACAGTATAGAATAGGACAACAAATCCTAAGAAAAAAGTAAAATAATAAAAATACCAAACTCCAAGGGAAATTCAAAACGGAAAGTCCTTTCAAAGGAAGGCAAAATCAAAAGCTCAAACACATCTAACGAATGTCAAAGACAGATTTGAAGCTGGACATAGATATGAGGCTGGACATAGATTGAGGCTGGACATAGATTTGAGGCTGGACACAGATTTGAAGCTAGACATAGATATGAGGCTTTAATACATATATGCTTGTTTGTTTGTATACCTGTACCTTGTAAAGGAGATAGGTGTATTGGTGTTGTCTCTAGGTCTTTCCAAATCTTTTTGGTAATTCTTGTTATCCTTTTTATGTAAAGCTACAATCAAATTGGACTACTTACCGTAAAATTGGTCAGGAGGAACAGAAAGGCTGATTCCTATATCCTTCCAAAAATTAGTTTGAGATGGATATAATAATTAACTATGCTATTCATTTGCATAAATGTCTTCATAATATATTTTCAAATTCAAAAATGTTGCTAAATATTTTTTTTAATAAACCACAAATTCAACACATAAACAATTGCTTTTATAACATTTTGTAAAGTCTCCAATGTAAATCATTGTATATAAATTCTTCTCAGTAGGTGGTATAAATTGTTTCAGTTCTTATAGTTGTCAACCTGCTCATATCACACAATTAAGACCTATATCCAGAGAAAGACGGATTACTTCTGAAAATGAATAAATATTCAAATTGAATAAACTATTAATACAGACAAATGCTAGACATGCTTTGCAGCACAAAACAACCAGCTATAAGCTGATTGGCAGTCATATTACTGCAGACCTGCCAACTTTTGAAAACCTCCATGGGGGATTTTCCCCGGGGAAAAAAATTGTGACTGTTTTTTTTTATAATGTCCAGTAGAAAGTATTTCATGTATATTTAGGATTAATTTTGGTTTGTTTCTTGAATTTTTGAGATTGTTTTGATGCTGTATGTATCATTCTGTGTAATGATGTTTCTTTCATTTGGTTCATTTGTTTTATTTGTTTTATTTCAGTGTTATATTTGTTTTATTTCAGTGTTTTATTTGTATTTTCACTGTATCTATTTAAAATAAATTGATAAACAATGACTTGGTTGCTTCATTAATGCATACATTGCAAACTATGTCATGAAAAGATAAACAAGGTAAATGTCATATTAATAATATTTATTCAGTAGCATTTAAAGGAGATAAAAACAATACAAAACAATAATACACAAGGAGCAAAAAAACATAAAAGCTACTAATGTTCATTTTGCACTAAGTAGAAAGCACTAAGTTACATTATCATCACTTAAAATTGTCAGCACTATAAAATTGTCATTTGGCACTAATTTCCACAGTCTTTGTTGTAAGCAACACATGCTTTCTTTGCTGTCTTCAACAAGTCTTTGTCTGGTTTTAGCTGGTAGCATGCACAGTCTGAGTTGATCTTAGTGGTAAGTAGGTCACAGAGTGTTGAGTTGTCCAGTGATGACCTGTGTTCTGTGTGTATCTTCTTGACCATACTGAAGACTCTCTCACAATCTGCATTGAAGTTGGAGGCAGACTTGGTACTGTTCTGTGCTCGTAGGTTCTTAATGTGCATTGCTGTGTTGGTGTGTTTATTAACATCATTAAGGCCACCGTGGTCTATTCTGAAGTCTTTATTACATAATTTGCAGTAAGCATGGGAGTCTCCTGTGTTGGACTTGGTCATTTCAAGAAAACGGCATGGCAAACGTTTCTTCTTGCTGGGTGGAGTAACAACCATTGTGATAGTTTGAACTGTTATGATTCAATTCCATTTTTCATATCCTTTTATAACAATTGTCTCAATGTGCAAACAGCATCCAAGCCTTTACGTTTAATTTGCAAAATTCCTTTGATCAGTTATAATTAAGATAATTATTAACTATGTTCACCTGATTAAAGAATTGTTTTAACTAGTTAACTTGATTATAATATAATTAATCTCAATTAAATGATAAGTAAAAAAATTAAAACAGTTAATTATGTAACTCCCAAGCTGATCGGTATAAATAACAAAGATCAATAATTTTATTACCAATTAAGACCCATAAAACTTTGACAAATCATTGATTTTATTGAGGCACGTGTATATGTTTACATAATACTTAGTGTCAAAACAGATCGATAATCCTCAGGTAAATCAACATGACCCGAATATCAGATACTACGATGAATTTGATTGGATAATATCTCTATGTTGTCCTCCATTACCGGAAATCGGTAAGAATAAAATTTTCTCGGGTAGAATTTATGAAAATCGGGTTTTTTGCTTGTTTTAGGAACCCGATATCGGGATTCGGGTTGAGGCATGAAAATCGGGATAATACCGCCAAAATCGGGATAGTTGGCAGGTCTGTTACTGATGTCAAAAAACCAGCAATCTGATTGGCAGTCATATAACTGATGTCAAAAAACCAGCAATCTGATAGGCAGTCGTATAACTGATGTCAAAAACCAGCAATCTGATAGGCAGTCATATTACTGATGTCAAAAACAATCAGCAATCTGATTGGCAGTCACATCACTAATGTAAAAAAAAACAGCAATTTGCTGGCAGTCATATAACTGATGTCAAAAACCAGCAATCTGATTGGCAGTCATATTACTGATGTCAAAAACCAGCAATCTGATTGGCAGTCATATTACTGATGTCAGAAATCAGCAATCTGATTGGCAGTCATATAACTGATGTAAAAAACAAGAGGCTCTAAAGAGCCTGAATCGCTCACCTGTAATTTTTTGCTTAAATCTTTCATCAACGATTATTTCTGCTTTTTAATATAATTATTAATGAGTGGCTTAAAAATTCCATTGAGATGTTCTTTGTATCTGTCATATTTTCCCCAAAAGCAAAGAAATACATTTTACCCATAGTGTCTATGTTTCTTGACGTACAAGAAAATTTATACTAGATACTCTGAAACTCATTCAGCCCAAGTTTGGCTGAAATTGATTCAGCAGTTTCAAAAGGGAAGATTTTTTAAAGTTAGAAAACATGATAAACAAATTGTGTAAAATTGTCTTCTAAGGGCAATAGTCCTTAAGGGGTCAATTGACAATTTTGGTCATATAAACTTATTTGTAGATCTTACTTTGCTAAACATATTTGCTGTTTACAGTTTATATTTATCATTAATACTATTTACAAATGATTTAGGATAATAACAAAAATGCAGCAACCCAACAATGGGTTATTAGATTCATCTGAAAATTTCAAGGCTGACTGAACTTCACCTAATGTTTACCCCATGTCAGATTTGTTCTATCGCCTTTGGTTATTAGGTATAAGCCAAAAACTGCATTTTACCCCTATGTTCTATTTTTAGCCATGGTGGCCATGTTTTTTGACGAAACAGAAAATAAAACACAAACATTATTCTAGATACCCTAAGGAGCATTCATCTGAAGTTTGGTTGGAATTGGTTCTGTGGTTTCGGAGAAGATTTTTTAAAGTTAGAAAACATGATAAACAAATTGTGTAAAATTGTCCTTAAAGGGCAATAACTCTTTAAGGGGTCAATTGACAATTTTGATCATATAAAACTTAATTGTAGATTTTACTTTGCTGAACATATTTGCTGTTTACAGTTTATCTTCATCATTAATACTTTCCAAGATAATAACCAAAAACTGCAAAATTTCCTTAAAATTACCAATTTAGTGGCAGCAACCCAACAATGGGTTATTAGATTCATCTGAAAATTTCAGGGCTGATAGAACTTTACCTTACGAACACTTTTACCCCATGTCAGATTTGCTCTAACTGCTTTGGTTTTTGAGATATAAGCCAAAAACTGCATTTTAGCCATTGCGGCCATGTTTTTTGACGAAACAGAAAATAAAACACAAACTTTATTCTAGATACCCTAAGGATCATTCAGATTAAGTTTAGTTGGAATTGGTTCAGTGGTTTCAGAGGAGATGATGTTTGAAATAGTTTACACCAGACGGACGACGACGACGGACGATGACGGATGCCAAGTGATGGCTAAAGCTAACAGCAATCTGATTGGCAGTCATATTACTGATGTCAAAAACCAGCAATCTGATTGGCAGTCATATAACTGATGTCAAAAACCAGCAATCTGATTGGCAGTCATATAACTGAAGTCAACAAACAAGCAATCTGATTGGCAGTCATATTACTGATAACAAAAACCAGCAATCTGATTGGCAGTCATATTACTGATAACAAAAACCAGCAATCTGATTGGCAGTCATATTACTGATAACTAAAACCAGCAATCTGATTGGCAGTCATATTACTGATAACTAAAACCAGCAATCTGATTGGCAGTCATATTACTGATGGCATACTGTAAATCAACATACATTTTACTAATTAAGCAATTTCTGGTTCACTTTATTGAAATTCAAGTATGTATTAAAACATATGCAAGATGTATTTTAAAGTCCATGTATGAATAAACATATATTTTGCCAATTAAGCAATTTCTGGTTCACTTATTAAAATTCAAGTATGTAATAAAATATATGCAAGATGTATTTTTAAGTCCATGTGTGGAAAACATACATTTTAACGTATGTTAAAAATCCAATAAACAGCTGTAAAACATGTGTTAAAAACAAAGACATAACAAATAAGACGTATAATTTAAAACATCATCGTTCCAGAGTGAGATTATATTGGATGCCCTTTTTACAATTTTTACATAATTTGATTAGTATATTTTCTGTCATCATGTATGTTAGAAAGTATGTTAAGCACATGTTTTACATCTCTTAAACATACGTTATAAGGAAAATGTATCTTCATTTACATGTTTTAAAACATTTGTTTTGCATTTGTTTGGAATGAACATCCTTAAATCCGACATTGTTACCACATCATGTTTTGATAGGTACTTACATTTTTACTATAAACAATTTTTTTTTTTGGTTTGTTTGTAAACTATTTCCAAAGTTTTTAATTTGTTTTGAATGTGTATTGAATTTGGAGAGTTTTTTCTTGTTCTCTGAAAATTTTTATTCCCCTTTTCATTCCCTTTTTTTCTGTAATCTATTGTTTTTCAAAAATCTGGATATTACAAATTCTAATTTCATAACTTTTTTGTCAAATTCTAATTTCCTTAATTAAACAAAATTTAACATTAATATATATATATATATATATATATATATTGTACTTACGGTGGCGATGTTTGGCCAAAACCTGTAACATATAAACAGAGTATTATGGATATACTGAACAAGAATTAATAATATTATGAATATATTGAATGTCTATAAAATAAAATTGGTATTACAGCCTCTGTTGATTTAAGTCACATTACATTGAAGACAACTATACCTTCATGACTTACTTTTCAAATATTTTATTTGTTGAGGTAAAAAGACAAACTTTCATTTTTCAATACTTTTTCAATTTAATAACACAACTTTCAAGCAAAAATAGATTCAGGTATTTTCACCGGTTGTTTTTTTTTTGCAACGTGTTCATAATAAAAATAAGAAGAAAGTAAAATAACAAAAATACCGAACTCCAAGGAAAATTCAAATTGTAAAGTCCTTTATCAAATGGCAAAATCAAAAGCTCAAACACATCAAACAAATGGAAATCAATTGTCATATTCCTGACTTGGTACAGGCATTTCCTTATGTAGAAAATGGTGGATTAAAGATGTGGCATGATTGCCAATGAGACAACTCTCAAATAGAGACCAAATAACATGGAAGTTAATGTCTATAGGTCATCCTACAGCCTTCAACAATGAGCAAAACCCTTACCACATAGTAAGCTATATAGGCCCCAAAAATGACAAATGTAAAATAATTCAAACTAGAAAAAACTAACTCCCTGACAGTTTACATGCCATTAAATGAAGGTTAATGGCATTAAATTTTTGTGAAATCAAGCAATTATTTTGAAATGTTGATACACGTATATGTATAACATTCTTGGAGCTGTACACAAACTACTGTCAAAGAAATAAATGGGGGAAATGCATTATTTTTTGGTTTTTAGCTGAACACATCGTCTTAAAATGGTACTAGTTGTTGATAGTACAGAAAGCCTTTGTCTGTAACTTCAGGCCCTGCAGTAGATTTAGCATGCTTAAATAAACAGCATATCGGTTAACCCTTGCAATTGCTTTAAAATTCATGCAACCAATTTGATTAGGTTAAAATGAATTTTGGATATCTATGATAAGCCACATGTCAAAAACACTGTGTTAAATTTGAATGCGTTTATATATGCTACTCCTACTGTATCATATGCCCTTAAATGAGGAGCAGTATATAAGAGATAAAAGGCATGGTTTGTGCACCTGCAAACATGTTCAACCTATCGCCATTCTGTATGTACCTGTCCCAAGTCAGGAGCCTGTAATTCAGAACTAGTAGGGGTTATTTGTTGCTGTATATCATATTTATTTTTCGTTTATTGTTTTGTACATAAATCAGGCTGTGTCATGTTGGGACCTTTTATAGATTGCTATGGGGTTTGCTGTTTTCTCATTGTTGAAGGTTGGGCAGTAACCTATAGTTACTAATTTCTACGTCATTTGGTCTCTGGTTTTTTTCACTTGTTATCTGTTATTATTATTAAAATAAGATTTTATTCCTGTCAATGAAACAGAAAGACATCAAATGGTGTAAATATGAACTATAATGGCCATCCAAAATGAGTAGAAACCTTTCCACTTAGCTCATTAGTTGTTACTGTCTAACAATGTTATACAGAGCCTGTAGAATTTTCAGTGAAAAGACTTTTTTCAACTAAATTCACAATTTCATGAATAAGATAATAATCACCTGGTTGTTGAGTTGATCCAAACCCTCCACCTCCAAATCCACCACCAGGACTTTGTTGTGACAATGCACCAAATGTTGGAACATTACTACTCCCTGCTAGAGCCTCAAATGTTGGACTGCTTCCTGTACCACCATATCTAAAAACAAAATTATGTATACAGCAACACTGAAGCAAATATAGGAACATGACTCCTCCCTGCTAGAGCCTCAAATGTTGGACTGCTTCCTGTACCACCATATCTAAAAACAAAATTACATATACAGCAACACTGAATCAAGTATATAAACATAATCACTCCCAACTATAGCCTCAAATGTTGAACTGCTTCCTGCACTTCAAAACCTTCAAATGAATACAAGAAAATCTGTATAGCAATGCTTAATGATGAAAAATAACATTTTATAAATTTTGATACGTCCAAAGCCCTTTCCTTGATTTTCCTTCATCAGGAATGCTCAAACACAGAAGTCAAAAGCCAAGGATGTTTAAATGTTAAAATCATGTATGGAAACAAATGACCTTGGCCAAAAAGTAAATGTTATCACTTCACAAATGCCTACTGAGAAACATTATACACTAAAAGAATGTTTGATTAAAATGTTTTAATCTGAATCATTGTAAGTATGTTAATTGGAAAGTTAAATCTGAATCATTGGGAGTATGTTAATTGAAAAGTAAAATCTGAATCAATGTGAATTTGTAAATTGGAATTTAAAATCTGGATCATTGTGAGTTTGGTTATTGAAAATTAAATCTGAATCATTGTGAGTTTGTTAACATGGAAAGTAAATAGGAAAATCCCTTACCCTGCAAATCCAGCTGATTGTCCAGGTTGTGGAGATCCAAACATAGTATTACCACCTACTGGATTACCAAAAACTGGTTGGCTGCCAAATCCTGTTGCACCACTGCCACCAAATGTTGGACTACTCCCAAAGGCTTGGCTGGTACCAAAAGCTGGAGCTGTTCCAAATGAAGGACTACCCCCAAAAGCAGCAGGAGCTCCAAATCCAGCTAAAATATATACTAAGCCTTATAATTAGTCTGTAAGAAACAAATATTCCATCATTAGAAGAATATATATGAAAAAAATCAAAACTTAGCAAGAGCTATTAAAGCAAAAAATAAGTCTTGACATTAAGTATGAACATTAATACTATTGACTTATATTAAGTTGTTAAAAAGGTTTTTCTTCAACATGCTGAGAGTCACCATACACATTGGATGTGAAATATCATCTCCCTTATTCTTACTTATCATATTTTACTTTATATATATCCAACACACTCAAAATTATGCCCCTCGATAGAGGTCTTACTTTTAAATAAAGTTCAGAGGGTCCACTACTTAATCGTTTTACATTGCTTTACATTTTTCATTCTGAGGCCTTTTATAGCTTGCTTTACACTATGGGTTTTGCTATTTGTTTAAGGGTGCACAGTGATCTATAGTTGTGTACATCAACATCTTTGGACTCTGGTAGATAGTTGTCTCATTAGCATGTACCATATCTTCTTGTTTTTATATTAGCTATCAGTCTTGTACTATTAAGGTGAAATGCTTAAATAAAATATCATTAATTTGATAAAATTGAGAATGGAAATGGGGAATGTGTCAAAGAGACGACAACCCGTCCAAAGGACAGAAATTAGTTTTTAACTAGATTTGTCGGAACGAGACGAATGGCCCCGTATCAAAAAGTTGAAAAATCTGCATTTTCAACAACACATATGGACACAAACATGCATTGATAGTATCCAGCTCTCAAGACCAATACTAGTTTGATGAAAAATTTCCTTGATCAATGAGTAGTTAAATTTCACACTATCAGCAAACAGGAAGTGGATGTACTGCAGATCTAACAAGATATGTTGAAACGACATGAAAATCAGCATAGCGGAACAAAACATAACATGATCTGTAACACACAATGGGTGACTCACAAACCAAATATCAGCCCAATATCTGAAGGCGTTTAGAAAAAAAGTCAGGTTGACTGTGATTTTCAACAATTTATCAAAGTCCAAAGTTTGTAATTTCTGCAAAAATTAGCAGAGCGGAACGAAACTTAAACTTGATCTATAACTCATTATGGTGAACTCACATACCAAAAAATCATTCCAATATCTGAAGGCGTTTAGAAAAAAAGTCTGTATAACAGTGATTTTCAACTATTTATCAAAGTCCAAAGCCTGTAATTTCGGCAAAAATAAGTAGAGCAGAACGAAACTTAATCTTGATCTGTAACTCATCATGGTTAACTCACATACCAAAAAGCAGCCTAATATCTGAAGGCGTTTAGAAAAAAATTGCGTATAATGGTTTGTTGCGGAATGACGGAATGATGGAATGACAGAATGACAGAATGACGGACAAGGGTAAAACTATATGGCCCCGACAACTTTGTTGCGGGACCATAAAAAAAAATTTGAAGTAATTAATTCAAGCATCAAATGTTGAGCAATTAATTAATTATTTTTTATTTTGTTGAACCATTTAATATACCATATGGATAGACAACAGTTATTGAAGGTCAAAATTAATTATCATAATTAATGTTTGTACATATACAATTACAACTTTATATGTAAGCATTAAATAAATTCAGATTGGAATAAACACAAACACATTTACCTTTAATAGATAGGCATTTTAGTATTACATGCATACATGGTACTGTTGGATTTTAAAGCTAGTTCGTATTTGGTAATTGACTTATTACTTACAAGGACTAGTCTGTTGTGATGCAACACCAAAACCTGAGGCAGCTACACTACCTCCCCCACTGGTAAAACCTCCTACCCCTCCAAAAGTGCTGGAACTCTTGGCTCCAAAAGTTGAACTTCCTTGATTACCAAAGATGGAACCTGAAAAAAAACCCAAAATAATCAGATTTTTATAATGTCCAAGATTATAATAACTATTTTCAATTTGTTACCTTTCAATAATCGCTAACTGCAAAAAAATAAACACACACACACATTTATTAGAAAATCAATCTTACAATATTTGGGAAAATCATATTTCTCACTACTTCACTATCTGAAGCTAGAAACATTTTTGTTTTCCTCTCTACCCAGTATCAATTACAGAAGACCATAGGTTTACTTCAAGATTTCTTTTGGGTTTTGTTTGTAGTTGGGTTGCTGTCTCACTAATGTTGACATGATTAAAATATAACTGTGTAATAAACAAGTAACAAATGTTACCTGTGGAACTCGTTGTGGTAGTACCAAAGGATGTAGAACCAAATACATTGGTGTTAGCTCTCTCTGTACTCGGTTGTCCACCGAGACCACCAAAACTTGATCCACCAAATATACCTCCACCGGAACTGGATGTGGTCGCTGTCCCGCCAAATGAGCTTAAATATATATACATAGCTTAATAAATTAATCTTTAACAGCTCAAGTATATTTGAATTAAAAATTTTAAGTGACTTTGCCACTTGGTGAGATTCAAAATATTTGAAAAACAGAATATTTCTGGATTCAAATGGTTTACCTACATTTTCTGTCATACCTTTGTATCATTTAAAGATGACAAAATTTACAAGAAATGATCATTGAATTGAATTACCTGTTGATGGTTTGTAGTGAATTAGTAATGTCTAATGGAAAAATTCCAGCTACATCCTGTAAAGTGTTCATGTTGAGGACATCAAACATATCAAGCTTCAGGCATTCAATACTGTAGATTCATTATTATTCATGGTATATCAATTTTCATAGATTTATTGGGTATAGGTGAACTACAATTTTAAAAGTTTTACAAAGTACAAATTAACTATAGGCCTGTATGCAGACTTTTGTTAAACCATAAAGCTAAATATCCACGAAAAAATTTATCTTTAATCCAAGAAAATTGGTATCCGAGATAAATACATGATTCCATATTACACTTCTCAAATTGTCATATTAAGAATTTCATATTTGTTGCGAGTCTCCTTCAGATACATTCATGAAAAGTTTTAACAATTTTTTAAATAAAAAAAAAGTTAGAGAACGGAAAGAAAAATTCAGCAATTTTTCCATTTGTAAAGGAATATAACTCTAGAACGGTTAAAGTGACGCCACCAAAATTCAAACTTGATCTGTGTTTTGTGGTAATAAGCATTGTGTATAAGTTCCATAAAATTTGGTTGAGGCAAACTAAAGTTAAAGAACGGAAACCAACTTTGGGACGTATGGATGGACAAGGGTAAAACTTAATGCCCCCGCTACGGAGGGGGCATAGAAAATACTGTAAATTCAGAACTATTGCATGCATTTATTATTGTGATTTTTGAAGACCGAACAAAAAATGCAAGATTAACTATTGGGATTTCAGGAAAAGCTGAATGCAGATGTATGTATCAGATAACAGAATATCAGTTCTTATCATTGTGATACTCACCCAGTTGCATTATTCACATTAAATAATAAAATGCTCCGCTGGGCGCAGCTTGATATGACCACAGAGGTCGAACCCTGAACAGTTGGGGCAAGTATGGACACAACATTCAAGCTTGATACAGCACTGAATTTGGATTGTGATTAAATACTTGACACAGCATAGGTTTCTGACACAGAATGAATGTGGTCTAAGAACTTAAAAATTTTAAATTTACCTATTCAAACCATATCATTATTATTTGCTTTTATATATAAATCAGAAATAACCAATTTAAAATGGAAAATTTTTAAGAAAAAAAAAGGAAAAAAAGGAAAAAAAAATCCCTCCCCCAAATTTTTTGAACCCCCTTATGATTCATCAACCACAAAAACAATCCCAGCCTTCCCTTTGTGGTATGGTACCTTGCAGTACAATTTCAGAGAGATCCATACATTTGAACACAAGTTATTGTCTGGAAACTAGAAAAATGCTTGTTTTTAGGCCCCTTTTTGGCCCCAAATTCCTAAACGTTTAGGGCAATTACCCCCAAACTCAAACCCAGCTTTCCCTTTGTGATATGGAACCTTGTAGTACAATTTCATAAAGATCCATACACTTACACACAAGTTATTGTCCTGAAACTAGAAAAATGCTTGTTTTTTGCCCCTTTTTGGCCCCCAATTCCTAAAATTTTGAGGCAATTACCCCCAAAATCAATCCCAGCCTTCCCTTTGTGGTATGGTACCTTGCAGTACAATTTCAGAAAGATCCATACACTTGAACACAAGTTATTGTCTGGAATCTAGAAAAATGCTTATTTTTGGCCCCTTTTTGGCCCCTTATTCCTAAACGTTTTGGGCAATTACCCCCAAACTCAATTCCATCTTTCCCCTTGTGATATGGAACCTTGTAGTACAATTTCATAAAGATCCATACACTTACACACAAGTTATTGTCCTGAAACTAGAAAAATGCTTATTTTTGGCCCCTTTTTGGCCCCTTATTCCTAAACATTTTGGGCAATTACCCCCAAACTCAATTCCAGCTTTCCCTTTGTAATATGGAACCTTGTAGTACAATTTCAGAAAGATCCATACACTTACACACAAGTTATTGTCATGAAACTAGAAAAATGCTTGTTTTTTTGCCCCTTTTTGGCCCCTAATTCCTAAAATTTGGAGGCAATTACCCCCAAAATCAATCCCAGCATTCCCTTTGTGATATGGAACCTTGTGGTACAATATCAGAGAGATCCATACACTAACAAACAAGTTATGTCTGGAAGTTACAAAAATGCTTATTTTTGGCCCCTTTTTGGTCCCTAATTCCTTAACTGTTGGTACCATAACCCCTCAAATCAATCCCAACCTTCCTTTTGTGGTATTGAACCTTATGGTAAAATTTCATAGAGATCCATTCACTGCAACTAAAGTTAGAGTGCAAAAACCAATGTGTCTTCGGACGATGACGACGACGACGACGCCGCCAACGTCATACCAATATACGACCACAAAAATTTTTTGCGGTCAGAATAAAAACCTCACAATAATTTCTGGATTTACAATAATAGAATTTTTTTTACTACTGATCAGAGGATACAACAAGATAATAAATTTAAACCAAATGACAGTCATTTTAACAACTCGCATACATGTAGCCATAAATTACCTTGATGTTTGTCCAAATGCAGTCTGACCAAATGCAGTCTGCCCAAATCCTGGAGCTGTTGTCTTCTGACCAAATGCTGATGTCTGCCCAAATCCACTACTCCCAGATGATACAGGTTGCCCAAATACACTGGTTCCAGTTGATGAAGTTGGTTGCCCAAATACACTGGTTCCAGCTGGTTGCCCAAATACACTGGTTCCAGCTGATGAAGTTGGTTGCCCAAATACACTGGTTCCAGCTGGTTGCCCAAATACACTGGTTCCAGCTGATGAAGCTGGTTGACCAAATAATCCTCCAGCAGGAGAGGAGGTTGTTTGTCCAAACATACCACCAGAGCTAGGAGTTGAAGTTGACTGACCAAAAAGGCCTCCAGAACTAGGAGTAGAGGTTGGCTGGCCAAAAATACCACCGGAGCTTGTTGCTGATGTTGTCTGACCAAACAATCCTCCAGAGCTTGTTGGTGATGTTGTCTGACCAAACAATCCTCCAGAGCTTGATGCTGGCTGACCAAATAAACCACTAGAGCTAGAAGAAGGTTGTCCAAATAGTCCTGTTGAAGTAGTTGTAGTTTGGCCAAATAATCCCCCTGAACTTGAGTTAGTGGTCTGTCCAAACAAGCCATTGGAGCTAGTAGTGGATGGGGTCTGTCCAAACAGACTAGATGGAGTAGAAGATGATTTTTGCAGGAACAGATTTTCAGCAGTGGTTGTGGATGTTTGTCCAAATGGGCTGGAAGTTGATGTTGTTGTACCCTGACCAAAAGGAGCAATGGTAGAAGCTGCACTACTAGACTGTCCAAACAAGGTTCCTGTTGTAGTGGTCTGACCAAACAATCCTAAAGCTGGTTTCTGACCAAATAAACCTGTCCCTGCTGCTGAAGTTGTCTGTCCAAATATTCCAGTTGTTGCACTTGATGTTTGCCCAAATAATCCACCTCCACTGGCATTACTAGTTGTAGCTGGCACATTTGAACCACTGATTTCATCTGTCACAGCTGATGAAGTTGTCACTGTTTCTTCACTTTCCTCTTTTTGTTGGTTTAAGGTCTCACTGTTGGCAGTAGCTTCTGAACTTGTAACAGTGGTAGTTGGTGTCTGTCCATCTGTTGACACTTTTTTCCCAAACAGACCAGTATTGTTAGATGTACTTGATACACTTTGACTGACCGCTGTTTTCCCAAACAGACCTGTATTGTTAGATGTACTTGATACACTTTGACTGACCGCTGTTTTCCCAAACAGACCAGTGTTGTTAGATGTACTGGATACACTATGACTGACTGCTGTTTTCCCAAATAGACCTGTTTCACTTGAAGAACTGGTACCAAATATTCCTGTGCCTGTCGAAGATATTTTAGGATCATCTGAAGATGTAGCTTGACCTAAAACAGATGATGTGGCTCCTGTATCAGGAGAACCAAATAAACTTCTAGAAACTGAAGAGCTTGGCTGTTCTTTCTGTGTTGTCTCCCCTTGCTTACATCCCGTTTCTTTTGAAGTCTTTGGTGTTGTGTCTACTCCACTGCTACCAGTTGGTGGTATGGAACCAAATGACTGCGAAAAAGAAAATCCACTCACTGGTTTGTTTTCATTGGTGGCAACTGCAAAACAAATCTAAAAGTATACTTTTATAAAATATATAAAGCTATAAGTATATTTTTATAAAATATATAAAGCTATAAGTATATTTTTATAAAATATATAAAGCTAAAAGTAATTATACATTAGCTTCATAAAATCACACAATTAGGCAATAAGACACCTAACATTCATCTTTTGTGGAGGAAGGGGGAGGGGGGTTCAAAGGATAAGCAATTTTTTTTTTACTTCAATCAAAAACTTACTTTTTTCAATAGCATACATAAACAAGAATTTTCAATGGAAACACATTTTTTGTCATTTTCTTACTGAAAATATGTATTTTTTCATAAAAATAAGTTTTGTTTGTTTGTTGGTGTTTAAGGCCACATTCAGCGACCTTGACTTTATCATAGTGGCCATTTTTTATTGGTGAATGAAGCTGAAGAACCAAAAAAAACTACAACCTTCAGCAGGAAAACTGGCATTCCCCGTCATTAAAACTCAGAGTCAAGTACACCTCGCCACGATCAGGGTTCCAATGTTACAACCTTATGTTCTTGAATGACATTCGTAAGGTAGCTCTTGAGTTCTGTATCTAACACATGATTATAAAATAGTTATTGCTCATAAATTTTCTTTTCCTCTTTAATAGAAAATTTTAGTGTGTAATCATGGCCGGGTGTGGCTCATTGGTTCAAGGCAAGGTGGATATAATTGTCAATAATGATAAAATAGCATAGAGCATAGCTAGGAGATGAAATTCACGTAGATTGCACATGTTTTAAGTTCATGTAAAAATTTTTAAAATGAAATTATTTTTTTTATAATTTTTTAATTAGTAATAGTGCTCAAGATGGATGAAAATTTAAACACAAGTCAAATGTTAGAAAATAGTCGGAAAAAGAAAATAGGATACAAAATAAATAAAAATTTTATGCTTGAGCTCATTTCACATTCATGAATACCCGGTACATTTTACATGATTCTTTTGTGAGCCAATAGACTATTTTCATATTACCGACCTTTGACTCTGGATTATATAATTTTTCAACAGGTTGCCTAATCTGTGGTAGGACATCCTGGTACTTGGTCAGGTAAGAGCAACCAAAAGAAGGAAAATCAAATATATAATCGATGCAATTTGGGAAGGAAGGTTTACTGTTGGCAGATTATTTTTTTGTGTATAGAAAAAATAAAACAGTTAATTTCTTCCCAAAATTGTACTGATTGAAAGCTTGATTTTACTTCTTAACGTGGTTCTTGCTTGACCGAGTACCAAGATGTCCTACCAAAGAGAAGGTAACCGCCAAAAAAACATAAACTCTGGAGTCATAAGTCGGTAATATGAAATTGTCTATTTGTCCTTGTAGTGTTTCAACTAGTTGCTGTTATGGTTCTGACTACCTTCAACAGTTTCCTTTGACTTTGTGGTGCTTTCACTAGATGAAGTCTTCTGAACATTGTGTTTACTACCAAATAGTCCTACAAAAAAAAATGATAAGATACAAGGCTATCTTGTAAAATTCATGGTTTCAGAATCAGAAGGATTATGAGTAATATCATTATTTGTACACCAAATTAAAAACAATGCGACACCATTGGTCAGAAAACCATTGCTTTGGACCATTCAACACACTTTGGTGTAGGCTTTTGAAAATATTACCCAGACTGCATTAGATACTTTAAGTCATGCAAGGTTGTAATGGTAAATTAGTGAATTATTAGAATAAAACACAGTACTGCTTCAAAACATAAAACATTGGAATATTTGGATCTTATTTCAATTCATTTAATAAAAATAGAGGCTCTTAAGAGCCAGTGTTGCTCACCTGGATCAATGAGCATCTTTAACTTACCACTCTCCAACATTGTAGACTAGAATATAATTCATGACTAAAATCTCTTTTTAGTTGATAACACAAAAAATAAGTAAAAATCGTCATTCCTTGGCAAGAACTGCTGACTGACGGTTTTGGCTATGCTAACCTATTTGTGGACATGATCTTGATTTATAGTAGATCTTGTCCTGTTGATAATTATTTGGATTTTAAAGTTTCTACCAAGTCGATTTTTCAAGACAATAGGTAAAAACACAAAAAAATAGTAAAGTTCATCATTTAAGCAACAACTCTTATAACATATATAAGGAGTAGACTAACAATTTCAGCCATGTTGCCTATTGTAGAAATTGTCTTACTGAAAATTTGTTTCCTATTAAATTTCTCTTTATCTTATAGTTTTAAAAATGATATTTCTTACAAAAGACTCAAAGACAGGTTTTGCTGTTCATCTGATAGGATAACAGGTATGTAAATGTGCAATCTACAGATTTTCATGAAATCACCAATCTGTAAGATCCCACTTATATGTACATGTAATCTTAAGCAGACAGCATTCAGAGGACAAATGCTGGTTGGCTTAAGAAAAAATAATGTGCTGCCTGGTGATCTAGCACATTAGAACTCTAGTTCAGCATGTCAAACAAAGCATTTGTCATAGTTATGGTGTTTGCTTTAACTGACTTAATCACAATCTTTAACATTTATACTAAGAAAAAGTGTTTAAGTCAATGGACAATGAATGAGGGACAGGCCATATAGTCTTCAGGGAAATGAGATGTGCCATTCTTAATAGAACTGCTTACCAAATGTTACTGAACATTAGTGGTTTCCATTTAGCTGACCCAATCACAAACTTCCGTAAAAGTCTGCCTAAGTCTCTCCCCTCCACAATGATGACACCTAGTGTTTACCTGTTATGTTTTGTGAACTGGATGCTCCTGCAGAGAAGGAAAACGAAGAACCAGTAGGCTTAGCTGTAATAGTGGTGCCATCTAGTGACAACTGTGATGCTGACTTAGAAACATCAGCTGTTGATTCTCCACCCCCTATAAAGATAGACAAAAATATGTTTCATCACAATTCTGTCAAATTGTGATGACGAAAGAACATATCATTTTCTTTAAAACATATGTGCTTTAAGAATTTTAACTCTTTAATGTTTACTAAACATAACACAAGTATATATGTGTGTTGTTATAAAATAAATGTATAGAAGCAATATAGTAACAGTAACAGTTGTACATCGAGATAAGACAACATCCCAAAACCAAACATTTTCCCTAATTTCAGTCTATGAATAGCTGATATGACCTTGGCCTTTTACCTATTGACCCCAAATTCAATAGAGGTGTTCCTCTGCCAATGGGAAATTAGCATGCCAAGTTTGGTAAAGTTTGAATTTTGCTTTTATATTTGAAATATTTAAATCAATTGCCTATTTTCCTACTGCACAATACAAAGTAGATCTGGAAATATAGATTTTGACCCCTCTGTTAGACAGTTTTTCTGTCAGTCTGTGAGTCTGTCCATCATTTATTTTGACAGTCAGTCAATCAGCTAACTCAAGTACATTATATCCCATTACAATCTTATGTTTATATAAAACCCTTTGATTATTTGTTTTTAGTTAAGACAGGTTACTACTACTACCAAGGTATACCTAAATCTGAAGTGCTTTTATCATTTTTTGTTTCATCTGTCTTTCTCCCAGCCGAGAAATCAAATCCTGCTGAGGATCCTGTGGTTGTAGAAAAAGATTCAGAACCAAAGGCAGAGGTACCAGTCTGTCCAAACTTATAACCAGTAGAGGGTATGTTATTAGTCGTGCTGCTGCTCGTAGATGACACTTTCTCTGCTAAACCTGTTGCTATGGATGCATTTGATTTAAAGGCAAATCCATTTGGATTTTTTGGAATGGCTCCACCATTTGAATCTGCGCTACCTCCAAATGAAAATCCTTTAGTTGTATCTGTGCCTCCAAATGAAAATGGTTTGGTTGTAGTGCTGACGTCTGATGGTTTTGGAGACCCAAACAAATTTCTGCTTGTTACTACCGGGCTTGATTTGGGCATATCAGGTCTTACAGAGGATAATGGAGTTGATGTTACCTTCCCTGAAAAATTAAAAAGATGGATGTTAGTAAATGATTTCTTTATCCAATTTTTTTCTTTGTACCTTTTCTTATTCCACTGATGAGGATAAAAGAGGAAAGGTTAGGTACTAACAAACTATTTAAACCCGGACACATGTTTAACAGATAATACCATCAACAGTACTAACAACATCAACAGTACCAATACCATCAATGGTACTAACAACATCAACAGTACCAATACCATCAATGATACTAACAACATCAACAGTACCAGTACCATCAATGGTATTAATAACATCAACAGTACCAATACCATCAATGGTATTAATAACATCAACAGTACCAGTACCATCAATGGTACTAACAACATCAACAGTACCAATACCATCAATGGTACTAACAACATCAACAGTACCAATACCATCAATGGTACTAACAACATCAACAGTACCAATACCATCAATGGTACTAACAACATCAACAGTACCAATACCATCAATGGTACTAACAACATCAACAGTACCAATACCATCAATGGTACTAACAACATCAACAGTACCAATACCATCAATGGTACTAACAACATCAACAGTACCAATACCATCAATGGTACTAACAACATCAACAGTACCAATATCATCAATGGTACTAACAACATCAACAGTACCAATACCATCAATGGTACTAACAACATCAACAGTACCAATACCATCAATGGTACTAACAACATCAACAGTACCAATACCATCAATGGTACTAACAACATCAACAGTACCAATACCATCAATGGTACTAACAACATCAACAGTACCAATACCATCAATGGTACTAACAACATCAACAGTACCAATATCATCAATGGTATTAATAACATCAACAGTACCAATAACATCAACGAAACCAATAACATCAACAGTACCAATAACATCAACGAAACCAATAACATCAACAGTACCAATAACATCAATGAAACCAATAACATCAACAGTACCAATAACATCAACGAAACCAATAACATCAACAGTACCAATAACATCAACAACACCAATAACATCAACAGTACCAATAACATCAACAGTACCAATAACATCAACAGTAACTAACATCAACAGTACCAATAACATCAACAGTAACTAACATCAACAGTACCAATAACATCAATGGAACCAATAACATCAACAACACTAATAACATTAACAGTACCAATAACATCAACAGTACCAATAACATCAACAGTACCAATAACATCAATGGAACCAATAACATCAACAGTACCAATAACATCAACAGTACCTAACATCAACAGTACCAATAACATCAACATTACCAATAACATCAACAGTACCAATAACATCAACGGTTACATCAACAGAACCAATAACATCAAGGATAACATCAAAAGTACCAATAACATCAACAGTTACATCAACAGAACCAATAACATCAACGATAACATCAAAAGTACCAATAGCATCAACGATAACATCAAAAGTACCAATAACATCAACAGTTACATCAACTGAACCAATAACATCAACGATAACATCAACAGTACCAATAACATCAACAGTACCAATAACATCAACGATTACATCAACAGTACCAATAACATCAACAATTACATCAACAGTACCAATAACATCATTGATTACATCAACAGTACCAATAACATCAACGTTACTTATAACATCAACAGTACCAATAACATCAACGTTACTTATAACATCAACAGTACCAAAAACATCAACGGAACTAAGAACAACTACAGTACCAATCACATCAACGATAACATCAACAGTACCAATATCATCAATGATACCAATATAATGACTACTTAAACATTGTAATTAATTTGTTTAAGCTGTCAAAACCTACTGTGGAAGTTTTCATCAGTAAAGTTTAGTTAACGATGATCGATTTTGAGGTGTGTAAAATCGGGAATAGGGGTGGTATTTGAGGGGGTCACATAACATTCCCCCCAAAATGTAGAAAATATAATACTAAAAAATACTAAATGAAAAGTACACACTAAGCCATGTGAATGTGGGTAGGGATGGGTAAAAAGGATGGGGAAATAAAGAAGGGGTATTTTGGAACTAGGGTAATAGAAAGAATTGAGGAATGATAACAGAGAGCTACTGTCCTATTGTTTTACTATGGACCTACATCTTGTACTAGTTACTACATATATGCTTTATATTACTTCAGTTAATTTTTATGAGACTTTTGAACAAGCAAAACATTTAATCATATCACTTATTTGCATATATAATTTTTAATAGAAAAACAAAGGATATGGGGTATCCATCCATGACACAAAATAAATACATGCACAGCAACAACAAAAAAACACACAAAAAGCAAAGGAACAGCGCTTTTATTTTATTTTAGTTTTTTTTCAAATATATAGATATTAGTCCTAGGGGAAACTAAATTATCTTTTTCAAACAAGAAGATTAAAAAATCAAATTCATCATTTGTAGAAGGGCATACAAAATCATAGGTAAAGAAAAAAAAACTTTAAGGTAAACAACAAGAAAAAAAACACACAACATAGAAACAATAAAAGTCTGAAGGGGTAAATCTATCAGATGACCCAGTAATTGTATAAAATTTAAAAAGTATCCAAAGGTGGTAAAAATACTATTTTAATTTCTTTTCTACCCATAGGTAACCTATGGTAAGAAAGTCACACTTGAAGGTAGAATGTGATTAGCCAATGTTCAACCATGATTGATATTTTTCTTACCCAAAGGTTGACTAATTTGTTGCCTTAAACAGATTTAGACATAAAAACACACCCCTTATCACAAACAATTGCAAGTTGAGCACACCTTTTTGCAAGTCAAGCACACCTTTTTTAAAAATTCAACTGTACCCTTGTTATCCATTCATAGCCCTCCAATTGATATTCCATAGGAAGAAAATATTATTCACTGTACTGGTTCACTGGTCTGATTAATATTGTTCATTTTATGCAAAAATAAAGTTATCACAAGAAAATATAAGACAGTTATAATTATAATACCACATTGGGCATAAAAAGAATTAAATGTCTTCAATTGAAAGTATATTCTGACAAATACCTTGCACTACTTTATTAGAATTTGCACATTTCAGTAATAATTTGTACCAATTTAATTTGTGCTCCTATTTGTAGCCTTGCTATCTATTTTCATAAACAGTCATGATATCAAATAAAATATGTAGATTTAGCATACTTGGTCCTAATTTATTTTCATTGGTTAATTGTTCTAAAGTTAATTTCATTCCAAATAAAAACTGTGTGCTGGAACTTGTGGGGATAAATATAAGATAACTGTGGTTAATAATTCAACATTCTATCACTAAGGGGAGATAATCCAAAGTGTACTTAACATATATAGTGATTTAAAAAAGAGATCAATTTGCTTAATGTTGGTTCCATTCAGAATTATTACCCATCATCAAACTGAATTTTCAGTAAAAATATCTCACCAAAATTAATGCTTTGAAAATGTATCCCAAATAATAGCTTTTTGATAATAGTTTCCCCCTTAGCTATTTGTCTAATTGAGGTCTCATTCCTATTTTGTTTTGTTTCACCTGTACATAATTGTAAGAAAAGTTTAAAAAAAAAACATCCTTCTTGAATTTTGAAGTTTGTGGAAGAAAGTGGTTGTTGTGTTTTTTTGTTTTTTTGTTGTTTTTTATTTTTTTTTGTATACAAAACATGCATTTTAATTTCAGAATAAAGTAAAGCAAAGGAATCAAGACAATCTTTCTACTTCATTTGTATTTTGAAACTGTTATATACAAAAAAATTAATAATGTATGCTTTATTAGAAATGGAGCATAGTACAAAGGGATGCAACTCTTACTTACAAACGACATATCAAATGAACGAATAGGAACTGCAACCTATGTGCCAGCTGCTATGAAGATTCTAAATTACCTATACAACCAACAGTCATACATTTACAGGATGAGGACTACAAATGAAAGCTTATCCTAAGTAAAGTATATTTATTTTGATATTTTCATACCCACTCAAAAAAATGCATGAACTACTTGATGTTCATAGCTTCAAATCACAGTGTTAACTTTCACTTTTAATTTCAGATTATGTTAAAAAATGAAAATAAATAACAATTTATAAATGGCATGCGTCCGAAGCACATTTTTAGATTCATCTTCATCTGGAATGCTCAAAGCCAAATATTTTAAAGCCAAGGATGTATAAGAACTGAAACAGTCAAAGAGCTATATGATCAAAAGGACATGAAAATAGCCAAATCTATCTAAGTAGATATAAGAAGATGTGGTATGAGTGCCAATGAGACAACTCTCCATCCAAGTCAAAATTTATAAAAGTAAACCATTAGGTCAACTTTGCCTGAGGGAGTTGAAACCTTACTTTCTTAATAATTCATAAATCTATAAACGAACAATTCAAGAAAGGTTTAAAAGTGTTTACAATATCTTCATATGTACTGAAATCTCTGTGCTCTTATTTTAAGATTTTTTATCTTTAAAACTGTGAAAATTCACACTAACCAGACTATTTTTCCAGCTAATTCTATAACTTTAATAAATAGGGGTTAAAACAACTCTCATGGAATATAAAACTTATGTTGTCTTCCTCAGTTTACCATTTTAATGAAGTGCTCTAAGGAGACATGATCCATACCTGACTATATATAATACAAAGCATTTTATACAATGGAGGAGATGGGGATATTATAGGATTAAACGCCTTTTTTAAAGGAATTTATTGGTGTATAAACTCGACCAATTCACTCACAAACTTCGGACTTTATGATATGTTTGTGAGTGACTTGGTACAGTTTATACACCAATACATTCCTTTAAAAAGGCGTTTAATCCTTAAAATTGGAGATAAGGAATTTTTTTTTCCACACTCTTAACCTCTATGACACGTAAATTGTATATTTGTGCCATTGAATAGGCCTGGCGCATGAATATACTGGTTAACGCAAAAATATGTACTCCATGAAATTTGCGATCTGATGAAAAAT